TGGCATGTGGTGCTGGGGGATTGAACCGCGGTCCCTGATGCTTTGCCAAGCTTGTTCTAAGTAGGTGCTTTAGACCACTGAGCCATCTCTCCAGCCCCCTATTGCTTGTTATTGAATTATTTAGGGTTTTTATGTGTTCTTGGTCCTGTTATGATAACATATTTAAAAATCTATTTCTTCTGAATTCTTCAATTTATTGCAGTACAGAGATATAAATAATCTGGATTTCAGTGATGTCCATTGTGATTTTACCTTTTCTCTTTTTTTTTTTTTTTTTTTTTTTTTTTTTTTTTTTTTTTAGTGCAGGGTCTACAGGGTCTTATTACACAGATCAGACTCGTAGTGATCCTCCTATTTTTTTTTTTGCAGGACCAGGGATTGAACTCAGGCCCTTGCACTTGCCAGGGAAGTGCTTATTCCACTGAGCCATCTCCCCGGCCCCTACCTTTTCATTTCTAATTGCATTCATATGGGTCTTACCTCTTTTCAGTGAGGGTTTGTCTATTTTATTCTTTTCCAAGGGCTACCTCTATTTTTCATTTAATAAAATCCTCAACTAGGCAAGGTGGTATACACAGGCAATCCCAGCACTCAGGAGGCTGAGGCAGGAGAATTGTGAGTTGAGGCCAGCCTGGGCTAAATAAGCAAGTTCAAGGCCAGCCTTCACTACATAGGGAGACCCTGTCTCAAAAAAAAATCAAAAATCACTGTTTCAATTTTTCCTTTTATTAATACTTGTTTGCATACATAATTATTACATTCACTGTAGAGAACTGGTATAATTTTTATCCCTTTTCTCCAATCTGTTTTGTTTACAGTATCAAACTCATTTATAAGACCTTATAAATTATCATATATACAATTGAAAATCAGACTAATAGACCAAAGGATATATGAAACATATAATAGTACTAAGTCAAGGTACACTTTTAAATATATTGTCCACATTGGATTACAAATTTTTTCCTATTATCTGTCTTTTATTTCATAACATAAAGTTGTGTGTGATTTACTTCATTTAGTATTAGTCTCCAAACACAGCCATTTCCCTACAAATGACTCAGCCTTATCCTTCTTTATGCCACAGCAGCACTCCATTGCGTAGAATTACATTTCCTTTATCCAGATCTGTTGATCTGTGTCCAGCTGTTTTGAGTTGCACTGCTATAAACATTGGTATGCATACATCACTGTGGTTTGATTTCTTTAATTCTATGGGAAGATTTTTAGAAGGGGCACAGCTGGATCAAGTGGAATTTCTATTTCCAGTTTGGGAGACATTTCCATGCTGATTTCCATTGTAATTGCATTAGTTTACAGTCCCACTGACAATGGAGAAGAGTTCTCTACAGTTTCACCCATATTTATTATTGGTTGATTCCTTGATGGTAATCATTCTTTCTAGAGTGTGATGAAATCTTCACGAATTTGCGTGTCATCCTTGCGCAGGGGCCATGCTTCTCTGTATCATTCCAATTTTAGTATATGTGCTGCTGAAGCGAGCACGAGTGTGATGAAATCTCAATGTTATCTTAATTTGTATTTCTTAGATGACCAGTGATGTCAAACCTTTTCTCATGTGTTTGTGACTGTATTTATCGGAAAAATATTTATTCACTTCAGATGGCTTTTATTGGCTCTTTAAACTTGGGACCTAGTTTTTTTGAGTATTCTATGGCAAATTTTTTTCTCCATTCTGTAGGTTCTCTTCACTTTGCTTGTGATTTCATTTGCTCTAGAAGAACCAGCTCTTCGATTAAAAAATTTTTTTTGCTGTATTCATTATAATTTCTTTCCTTTTACTAGCTTTAGACTTTAATTGCTGTTTTTCTAGGACCTTAAAGTGTACCATTGGGTTATTTGGACTTGCTGTTCCTCTGACATAGGCATTTGCGACTATAAACTTTCCTCTGAAGATTGCTTTCATTTTATCCCATAAGTTTATGTTGCACTAGCAGTTTTATTCTAGGAACTGATTTAATTTCATCTTTAATTTCTTCTGTGACCCACTGGTTATTCAAAAGTACACTGTTAAAAAAA